GGGGTGCGCTGCCGTCCTCGCCGAGTCCGGCCGGCTGCCCGCCTGACGCAGCAACTGGAGCGGACTGCGAGGCGCGGCGGGCATGTGGGAGGCAGCCCACCCTCGGGGCGGCCCCGCGGGCGCCCCCGGCGTTTCCCAAGCGTGCCCAGTCCGGTCTCTGGCGCCTCCGGGCCTGGCAAGCGCGTGGCGCGTGGTGATCCGCCTTCGACTCTCCCGCCACCCGCCCCTCCTGCCATCGGCGTGGCGACCCTGGGCTCGGGGACCGCAAAGCCAGGAGGGCGCGAAGAGGAGAGCTAGGCCGGGGGCGCGCCGGGCACCCAGTCACCACCGCACACCGCGGGCGGCTCACGTTGCCAAACCACCTGTGCGATCCGGAGGGAGCGCCCCCACCCCCTCGCTCGGGTCCTTTCTCTCACAGGTGATCCCACCTCTGGTCCCAGATTGTCTTCCTTTTCTTTTAATGGAGCTAATGCGCATCCGGGAAGGTAGCGCGCATTAAACTGCCTCCTCCCGCCCTCCGCGCACCGGGACAACTGGGGACCCCGCGCGAGCAGCCCACCGTCCACGATTCACCGGGAAACAGCCCAAAGACCGGTCCCGAGCCTCCACCGTCTCCCCCAACGGAACCAGTGAAAGGAAGCCACCTCCGACAAGCGACACAGAGGACGGGGGCGGGGAGGGGGGGGGACCTTAGAAGTCAGACTGTAAGATATGACAAAATAATAATTTATAAATTATCAAGAGTTCATGAGGGAGGGGGGGGCGGGGAGGGGGGGGGGAACCTCAGAAGCGGAAACATTGAAGTATCCACACGCAGCAGAACCCTTTCTTACCGATGTGAATGATTGAATCCGCATTCGCCGATTCCCAGGTTCGAGACCACCAGATGGACAAAACCAGGAGCAAAGGAAAAACTTCCATCTCCTCCTATGCCGATTCCCGTTAAGAATAGATATTCTTTCAATATAGCGAGAGAATAAAAATCAGTCCAAAGAGTTTGAGATCACGATAGAGTTTAGTCCAGCTTTTTTTTTTTTCTTCCTTTTTTCCCTCTAAATTCCTATTGCCAGAAAAAGAGGGGGGGACCCCTTTAATCGTCGCTGAAGAAGGCAGCGGGAATGGGTGAAAGAACCCGGGTTGAAGAAGCCTCCTTCGCAAAGCCGTGTCACTTGGAGGGGAATTTTGGCATCGCCAGAGTTGTTTGCAGTTTGGGCTTTGCAAAATGTATCCAGTCTCGGTGGCGCTGGGGCAGGGGTCGAGGCTGGAGCTCACACCATCCCCGTCGCTGCGCCCGGGCCGTGGGTCTTGGGTCCCAGCGCCGCCGCAAGTTCCAACAGACCCCCCTCCCCCCCGCTCCCCTCCCGCCGGATGTTCCCCTCCGCTCCCGCCCCCGGCCCCAAAGCACCCCGATAGCCCGCAGAGAAGCACTTGTCTCCGGTGCCAAAATAAAATCTAAGTGGAGAGCAAAGCTTAGGAGATTCCAAGCGGAGCAGCTAGATTCCAGCAGCGAGGGGACGATGCCCTCGCCGAGAGGGGTAGAAAAAGTGAACTTCAAGGTAATGCAGATAGTGATGCAGAGAAAACCCCCGTTCGGCGCGAGGCGGGGAGCGGAGCTCGGCGAGACGGGCCTGAGCCGCCGGGTCGCTCGGGCGCGGTGGCGGGGGAGTCGCGCCGGCGGGCGCAGCGGGCCGACTGGCCGAGGAGAGCCGCCGCAGGCTGCAAGATGCTGGCGGAGCCGTTCGCCTGGCGGAATGCAGGCAGCGAGCAAAGAGCGAGCCTGGCAGCTTCAGCACCAGCCCCACGTTGCCTGGAAATGGATCACCTAGGAGAAGGAGCGAGCCCGCGAGAGAGCGGTGCTGTCAGGCGGAGAGCGGGGGAAACCAAGAGGAAGAGCTTCTCTCTAATAACCACCTCCTCCCCCTATCTGCAATCCGAGGGAGAAACAAAATAGTGCTCTCATTTCCCTTGGAATCTTCAACCGGGACTGAGGAAAAAGGCAGGACTGTAAGAGAAAAGACGTTTAAGCATTTTTTTTTTTTTTAAACTAGGTTAAAGCAACCTGAAAAAGCCACCCCACTTATTTAACCTTGTTATTCTCCAACAGGTATCAGACTTTTTCTAGTCTCTGCGTGGAATGAGGCACATTGGTTGAAAATAAATTAGGGGCACCTGGCCACTAAGGGAAAAAGAGACCTAGAAATCTTTAATGAGGTTTCAATTATAAAGTTATAAAAAGGAGAAGATGTGCTAATTACCTTTTATTCAGAGATTTTTCACCCTGTCTCCGGTGTATTTTTAAGGCAATCGGGATAGAGAGAGGATACAAAAGATCTTGAAATTAAATAGAATAATAATTAAACAAACAGATGCTTCCGTGAAACATTTCATCATAAAATTACACTTTCTGGGAGAAAGTAACTGAGTAACAGACCGATTCGGGTAAATTCAGAATGAGGAAGTTCCCTTGCTCTTCCATGGAGAGTGCCAGGGAAATTCTGAATGACAGCCTGCCAGTCCTCAAATGAAAGGATTTTCTGCAAGCTTACTTAGTCTTCTTTATACCTTCACATAAAAGCCTGATCATTGTGACTCCCTTTCTTCCAGCTATTACCTGGTATCTAATCTAGTTCCCTTTGGGGCTGGAGATACATTAGCACAACCAAGTCACTAGTTGAGGTCAGGTTTCAATGGTCCTATTGTTATTCTATTCTATTTGAAATCCCTTGGATATTTTGCTGCTTCTGATGTATGAATGTCAACCTCTTCAAACAACCTTTTAGAGCCTTCCTTTGCCTCTAACTTTAGTTAAAAACCTCTTTCTTCTTACTCTCTGACTTAAGCCTTTGGTCACTCTAGCTAGTGAATTGGACTATTATTTCCAAATACAGCTAGCTGTACATGCTCACCTTTGGGAAGTGCTCACCTGTAGTCATCCTTTTACGTGTTTTTTGACATTCCAGAAATCATCTACCATATTGCTATTTTTGTTCATAGTTTTGCTTGGAAAGCATCTATTTTTTCCTTCCAACCACTTTTTTCAGTCACCTTCCAACAGTGGTTACTCAAAGTCTACTTCAATTCCCTTTCCCCATGAAGCCATGTCCATCTCCATAATAAATACAAAATCAAGCCATCCTTCTATGCCATCATAGGACCATAATTTACTCACATTTTCTTTATTGTGGGTAAACATTTTACAAAGGACTGATTTTATTGCCTTGCATTTAATGTTTTCCTTCTGAATCTGGATGAAGTAGTACTTTCAAAAGTCATCATTGTTCATTGCTAACAGTTTAATCACCCATCTTTTTTTCCTAGAGTATACAGTGACATAAAGGGCCCTGGTAGCATAGGGGTTATTCATTGGGCCACAAATCACAAGGTCAGCAGTTCAAAATCACTGGTTTCTCTGGGGGAAAAAGACTGGGCCTTTCGATGCCCATTAACAGTTACAGTCTCAGAAACTCACATAGTCCTTTCTTTCCTGTCCTATGGAGTCACTATGAGTCGTCATGTACTTGATCGGAATGAGTTTGGATTGGTTTGGTATACACGGACTCATAAATTTGCATTATTGTTGTTAATGTCACTTTATTTTGTCAATGCACTCTCCTGGATTATATTTGTGCAGTAGATCATGAAGTCATTGAACTAAAGTGGTACTCCTCAAGTCTCATATTATTTGTGAAAGCATTTGCAAATATTGATGAGCCACTATGCCATATGAAGGGGGTAGAGGAAAGAGGTGGAATGTATTTAAGATGGAAAGATCACCATAATATTCTGCAATCAGAGAATGAGGATTTACCTCACAATATTGGGAATTGTAAATATGTCGCTCCCAGAGATAGCTAAATACAGACGGGGTTCATGATACTTCCTCTCCTGAAAGTAAGAGTTGCTGTACTAGAAGTAAGACATTTTAATTATTTCAAAGTCTTCTAAATCAGTAGTTCTCAAACTTAGCTTTATATTGGAACAACCTGGTAAACATCTCAAAATAAAACAAACTATAAACAAATAGTTGATCATACTTCTGGAGGTTTAAGGTCCAAATAAAATCTGTTTTAAAACTTCTCTTAGGCATCCTAATGAACAGCTATCATTCACTTTTCCAATACTCAGCGAGGGAACAGGTACATCACAAAAAAGGCATCACTGCATCATATTGACCATCCACTCTCACTAGTCAGACAAGACAGTAAAACCATTGTTTGACTTTCCAGAAAGAGCAAAGTCAAAATAAATAAAATCACCAATAGTGTATTGATTTCCCATTAAAAAATAGCAGTCAATATACTGGTCAACTTCCATATTCATACATTTAAGCAATTCTTTAACAATGCACCTATTAATGATATTTTCTACTCTTTTAGAACAATGCATATATTGGCATAATATTTATTAAATGAATACAACGTTTTCTCATGTGCAAGTTAAAATTTTAAGCTGAACAGCAAGGGGAGTAAGACAGGACAATTGTGATAAATCCTCAGTGCTTTTTAGGTGCATTTTACAAAGGACTGATTTCCAAGCTTTCCAAGCAAAACTATGAACAAAAATAGCAATATGGCAGATGATTTCTGGAATGTCAAAAAACACGTAAAAGCTTTTTTGTGAAGGCCACTTCTTTTAGCTAAGGTTGTATGCCTTTAATACAATAATTTCATATCAAAAGGGTTACTATGCTAGAATTGCTGCAATAAAATTCAAAATTTTGTGAAATTCTACTTTTGCAGGGAAAAGAGGTGCAATTACTCACTTAAGGTTTCATAGCCAATGCATGTATTAAATGAGAATGTAGTTAAAGCATACATTAATAATTTACCAATTAATTTTGTATGATGGAGACTGACACTTCATTCTGGCATTAGTTGTGATTTGAACAATAACAATTTGAAGAAAGGGTAGGGAATCTGAGTAGTTTATGATGTTATTATTATTAAAGTTCCTGCTGTTAGGAGCCATCTAGTAGTGTCCTACTCATAGCAGTCCATTGTCCGACAGAACAAGCACTGTCCTGTCTTCACAACTGTTGCTATATTTCAACCCATGTGGAAGTCCCCTTGTCAATCCAACCCTTTGAGGGTTTTCTTATTCTTTACTTATTCTCTCCTTTACCAATCAAGATAACACCGTCCAGAGACTCGTCCCTGGAAGGTACATCCACAATACATGAGATGAAATGTCCCCTTCCTGTTTCAAAAAAAAAATATTCGGGCTGCACTTTTTCTAAAATAAATTTCCCCAGTCTTCTACAATATATAATGTGCTTCATATTCTTCACCAACACCATAAATCGAAAGCAGTAATTCTGTTTCTGTCTTCTTTATTGTCCAGCTTTCTCATGTTGATGAGAAGATTGGAAATGCCAAGGCTTTGGTCACTCTAGTACTGAAAACACTATGACTTCAGTCCACTAAGACCCACCTTAATGCCCAAAGTGACATCTTTGCTTTTTAACACTTATCTGAAGTTTCTTGCAGCATATTTGCCCAGTGCAATCAATATGTCTTTTGATTATTTGACTATTCTTTCCATGGGGATTGATTTTTAGGTCCAGATACAATGAAATCCTTGACAACTTCAGTGTTTTCTGTTTATCGTGATGTTGCTTATTGGTTGAGTTGTGAGGACTTTGTCTCCTTTATGTTGAAGTGCAATCTACACTGGAGGTGTACTCTTTGATCAATAACTGCTTCCAGCAAGCAAGATTATGTCATTTGCATATCACAAATGGTTTCTTGTTTTATTCAATCCCTAGAAAAGCATGTTGTCCCTTAGTACACAGTCCAGCCTCTTGGATTTTTTTGAACAGCATACAGATTGAGTAATTCTAGTTAAAATGATACCACTCTGATTCATGCTTTCCCCAACACTACAACATGCAGTATCCTTTTATTTTGTTTAAATGATCACATCTAGGTCAATATACAAATCCCACATGAGCATAGTATAGTCTTGGGAATTGCCATTCTTCCCCAAGTTGTCCTCAGTGTGTTAGGGTCCCGACAGTCAAAATCATTTGCATAGTCAAGACAATATAGATAAATACTTCTCTGACATTCTCTGCTTTCATCCAACATCCATCAGCAATGATACCCTCTTTCTCCAGCATCTTTGGTGCCAGGCTTGACTTTCTGGAAATCCCCGAGAGATGTACTTCTACAACTGTTTTGCATTCTCTTCAGCAGAACTTTACTTTTGTGTGATAATAATTTTGCTAGATAATCTCCACATTCTATTGGATGATCTTTGTGTAATATAATA